CATTCCGCTCAGTTGTCTTTCTGTATTGGCATCAAATTTGCTAGATATGTTGAAACTGATGAAGGAGCTATTGCAGCTATGCTGTATTGCAGTGCTAAGTTGCGTAACTCAAGCTGCCTCAGATTCTCTGTGGAGTAGCACACGATTTAATTCAATGAAACTGTAAGGGTATTTTCAAGTCAAAAGGAGCAGTCTTTCAGCAATGAATCATCATTAAGAATTCATATTTTGTAACAACTTATCTGGTATTCTATCAATGAGAACTGGATTCTAAAAAGAAGTTACTCTATATATTTTTATTTTTATTTTTTGAGATGGAGTCTCGCTCTGTCACCCAGCTAGAGTGCAGTGGCACCATCTCTGCTCACTGCAGCCTCCGCTTCCCAGGTTCAAGAGATTCTTCTGCTTCCGCCTCCTGAGTAGCTAGGATTACAGGCACCTGCCACCAAGCCCAACTAATTTTTTTTTTTTTTTTGTATTTTTAGTAGAGATGGGGTTTTACCATGTTGGCCAGGCTGGTTTTGAACTCCTGAGCGCAAGTGATCCACCTGCCTCAGCCTCCCAAAGTGCTAGGATTACAGGCGTGAACCACCGTGCCTGGCCAAAAGGAAGTTACTTTAGAATCAATCTAGATACCCATCCCTCCATACATATGAATCATAAAATACCTATAAATCATATTGAGTATCTATTTACTGAATGTCAAACATAAGAATCCTATTACTGTCTGTCTTTGAAAATTAAGGAAATATTAACTCTAAATTACACTTAAGACAAATTGTATACATGAAAACTCTTTAGGGAATATTTAGAAGATTCAGGTAAAATCACGAGAAAAGTTAAAATCAGACTCTCTAATGTATGTGATACAAGGAGAGAATGTACATAACCCAAAGTACCCAGGGCAGGGTGAGGTCAGTTCTTAAATTCCTGATTGCATTCAGAACTATTATGATTTTGTTTGACCTTTGTCTTGACTTAATGTCAGCCAATTTTTATGTCTTTATGTAAATATTGAAAAAAATGCTGGCAAAATTTTAAGACAAACACAAAGGTAAATTCTTGTAAAGGCTTCTCAGGTGGTGGGCAACAGTTTGGCAGAAAAGTCAAGCTATTTGGTCCCGGAACAAAGCTCATCATTACAGGTAAGTTTTCTTTAAATTTTGCAATGTAGAGAAGGGATGGGAGGCAGGCAGGAGCTGGCTCAGAATTCTAGGATTCCCTCCTGGTTTGGTCACTAATCATGGTGAAATCTCCAGAGAGGTCAGGTGACTTGGTTCATGCCATGGGAGTCAGAACTTTTCCAGCCCTAGCATGGGAGACATTACTAAGGAGCTTAGACCAACTGCAAATCTCTAAAGGATGGAGGCCTTATGTTCCACTGATATCTCTCTGTTAAAAGTTTTGTGAACAAGTTTAGTTTAGAGATTTTATTTCTTCAATTCTAAAAATAACCAATGGAAAAAAGTAAAAAAAGGAAAAAAAAAATTCAGCTACCCTCCTCATTTGGTCACTGAAAGATGAAATATTTGATAATTTGACCAAAGAATGATTACTATCAAATGTCAAAATATTTCACGGTGTGACCATATTTAAAAGTGACATAAGCTGCATTTGTTGTTATTTAAATTGGTCCAATGAGTTTATTATTTGTTAGCTTAAGCTTAAAGATGTAATTTTGCCTGGATGAGAGAAAACATCTCATAAAGATACTCTTGGTCTATTAGTTCCACTGAAATGAAAGTTTTCAGAGAATATTCACAAAGTTGATAAAGCATTGAAAAAAATGAAAGCAGTTTTATAGTTTTATTTCTTTAATGCTTGAGATCATATGATAAAATTAACTTATAAGTTAAAAAGTGACCTTCTGATTCTCTTTTATCCAGTTGACTTAATGTGAATGGTAGCAATCAAAGTCATAATTTGTAGTTTTCTGAGAAGTGATTTTTCAGGAAAGTGCGGTGCAGGAAAAGGTATGGACTTTGTTTCTCGATGACTCCTGGGGCTGCCACTTTCTATGTAACTGCCCTTTAGGAAGTGTATTTTGATTCACCAAGTATTCAAATCATAAAAATGCTGGTTCATTATAGAAAAATTGGAAAACACAAAAATAAACAAAAAAAATAATTTGATATTGACCCTCATCACATTATCTGTTAACTTTTATTTAAACATTTTTTCTATGCTTTTTGTTTGTTTGCTTTACAAAGTTGGAATCATAGACTAGACACACAATAATAGATCTGGCTTTTTCACTTCACACTACTTCATAAACATTCTTTTCAAATGTCCTTAATATTTTGCAATAACAGAGCAAAGTTGAAAGTTCCGATTTCAAGTTGATCTGTACAATGAAAGTAATGGAGATTATTTATCTCGAAGGAATGTTGTATATATTACATGAAATTAAATATGGAAATTACCCACCAGAATGCCTGGCACTTGGTAGGTGATAGAAATATTAATTCCTCTTCCAGAATTCAAGTTACTACCCATGAGAGGTCTTTATACACTCAGGAATAAGACAAAAGTATCAACCCCCATCTATTCAACAGCTCACTTCAGAACAAATATCACTATTTATAAAATGCTTTCTATTTCTAAAAGACTAATTGTACCTGCTTCTAAAAGTAATTAGAATGTTTTATGTATTATCTCATATATGATCTGCTTGAATGCAAGGTGATTTTTCATTTTCCAGAGAAAATTTATACAAGTTTAAGAAAATATGTATTTCCCCTCTCCCAACTTGAATATGTAAATTCATAGGGATACAGGTAAAATAGTCAAATGTCTACTTATAACATTTAATTTCTTAACTGGATCATACCTACAAAGTTAAAGATTATGTCAATACCAATATCAGTTGAGAAATATTGGCTTTGGTGCCCTTATATTTCATTAAAGATTTTGTTTTGATGCTTCACATGCATCTAAAGCAACTACCTTAGAGCAACTTTCTAAGGCATCTCAGTTCTCAGTGTCCATTTTGGATTCCTCATATGATGGTGTCCCTGAATATTTTATTCTGAGAAACAATTATCCACTCACAAAATAAAAGGAAATTATTTTTTCCGATTTATTCCGTTATTCTACATTTGTATGAAGTAAGTAAAAACTACAGGGACCTTAGCCCCAAGTAATAATGACCAAATTCATGATACATTTCTTTGCTTTTTCTTTCCTTTTACCAGAGCTATCGCCCCAAACTAGCATTCATTGAGTTCATTTCATGTTGACATCTCGTCCAGTTAGACCTTCTGGATCAAAGCAGAGTATTTGAAGAACATTTTTTAATATGAGAGGTTACACAAAGACTGTACCATCCATAAGGCACCCTCCCGCCCCCCATCCCGCCTATGTTGTGAGAGAAAATTTTGGGAAAGAAAGCCTCATTTTATGTTCTGGCACTTTCTTTCTGTCTATATAAATTTAGTATGTAGGTGTCCCTATCACAGAGCTAGGATTTACAAACGTGTTCTGCATTCCTAGTGTCTTATTTGAGCTTGACCATTAAATAAATACAGATGATCAAAAGCTTCAAGGAAAGGAGAAGGAAAAAGGCCTGTGATTACCTGGCAAGGAGCACAGGTTAAAATTTTATCCCCAAATGTAGGAGAAAAAGGTAGGGGAATACATAAAATTCTGATAAGTGTATTACTGGATAAGATTAACGCAAGAGTATCTCTGAAAATAATCAATAAAAATGTTTAATAAGAGTTTTGGAAATGTTGCCATTTTGTTTCTAAATTCAAGAGATGGTGAATAATCTGGAGGTACAGCTGTAAATACTGCTCCACCCCAAAACTTGGAGGGTGCAGATGTGAAATTGAGATGTTATATAAAGATAGATATTAACTAGGAGGACTGCTCATGGTATATACATTGAAACTACATGGTCAACTTGATAGACAGTACGTACACATGGAAGTAGATTCTCATTAAAACAAGTGACTATGTATTGTTAAAAATAAAAGTGAACAAAATAGCTAGGCATGGTGGCTCATACCTCTAATCCCCGCACTTTGGGAGGCTGAGGCAGGCAGATGACTTGAGTGCAGGAGTTTGACACCAGCCTGGTCAACATGGTGAAATTTGTCTTTACAAAATACAAATATTAGCCAGACATAGTGGTGCATGCCTGTAGTCCCAGCTACTTGGGAGGCTGAGGTGGGAGGACTACTTGAGCCTGGGAAGTTGAGGCTGCAGTGAGACATGATTGTGCTGCTGCATTCCAGCGTGGGCGACAGAAAAAGCCCAGTCTCAAAAAAAAAAAACAAAAAAAAAAAAAACAAAAAAAACAAAAAAAACAAAAAGCTGACATTTATTCATATGGGAAATAAGATAAATAGTAAGATTTTTAGAATGTGACATTTATTCATATGGGAAATAAGATAAATAATCAGATAAATATGGTGCATCGCAGAATCAGTGAAATGAAGAGTGGGAGGACACAAAATTGTGGAACATGAGAATGTGTGTTATTTGGTCAAAGAACATAAGTTACAAAGGATGGGAAACGAAAGTGGGAAAAGGACAAAAGAGTCTCATCTGTAGAGAGATCATTGAAGTTATCTGATCTTTTTCCCCTTTCCCCTGCCATCCACCTTGAAAACACCCTTCACTATAATGAAACTAAAGAGATAAAAAAGAAAATAAATATGTTCATGAACATTGGAAGCCTTGGTAGGAGGCAGTTAAAAATCACACTCCCTCACAGCATGTGCAGAATAAACAAAGGCCAGGTTTTCATCCAGCATCTGACACTTGAGAGCTGTGACTTTTGGCAAGTTATTTAACTTTTTGATCCTCTTTTCAACCTCTGTAAAATAAGCACAGTAATAAGTACTGTGCAGCCTATCCTGGATGAAAGGCCCCGGTGGACACTAGCTCAATGGCACCGTCTCTTTTTATTGTTATGTACTAGGCCATTCCAAACCCTGCAATGTGTGTGTTTCTCTCATGATTCTTTTAAATTCATATTCCATTTCTCCCCATAGATAAACACCTTGATGCAGATGTTTCACCCAAGCCCACTATATTTCTTCCTTCCATTGCTGAAACAAACCTCCATAAGGCTGGAACATACCTTTGTCTTCTTGAGAATTTTTTCCCCGATGTTATTAAGATACATTGGCAAGAAAAGAAGAGCAACACGATTCTGGGATCCCAGGAGGGGAACACCGTGAAGACTAACGACACATACATGAAATTTAGCTGGTTAACGGTGCCAGAAAAGTCACTGGATAAAGAGCACAGATGTATCGTCAGACATGAGAATAATAAAAATGGAGTTGATCAAGAAATTATCTTTCCTCCAATAAAGACAGGTATGTGTTTACACATATCATCTCTCCGAACACGTCTTTGAAAGGGAATCCTGCATTTTTTCCTTTCCTTATTAATGAAAAACAAGCATAAATCTTTCTTAATTGGTGTCACATTTAATGGTAGCATAAATGCCCTGCTACTTTTCTATAGAATTAAAATGGTGTGGGTTTTGGAGAAAACAAAATTGAAAAGGTTACGGAAGGTTTCTCAGCCTCAGTTCCATTATCCAAAATAAGAAAGTCACATGCTGGTTTTTAGGGTTGTTAGATGGATTAAAGGAAACAACCTACACAGAAGCATCTAGCAACGAAGCAAGTGGTAAATGCTCAAAAAGAGTTCTCCCTTCTCTTGATGACTTTACTTGATCTGGAAATAAGAACAAATATACGCCTTTCAGGAATGTTCTACTGAAGCAGGCAGAGTCACCTCAATCTTGCTACCCACAAAGTTTAACCTAAAAATGATGGGTTCATTGTTGACAAAATGATATTTATCTAAAAACAGTTCCAATTTTCTATTTCCTTTGCCGAGACACAAAGGGGAGGCAAATGTGCAAAGCCTGAGGGTAGTCTTACCACTGTGCTTACGTGATCTGATTTTTCCAGTGATTAGGGCAAAATAAAACGTATAGTAAGTTCCAGGACAGTGAATATTATACAGGCGACAAGTTACAGTTTTATAATGTGTTTTCCTTTACACTAAATTCTAAAAGTAAAATGTCTTTCTACCTGCTTTTTTTTTTTTTCTGAGACAGAGTTTCACTGTTGTTGCCTAGGCAGGAGTGCTGTGGCACCATCTCGGCTCACTGCAACTTCTACCTCCCGGGTTCAAGCGATTCTCTTACCTCAGCCTCCCGACTGGCTGGGATTACAGGCGTCTGCCACCACACCTGGCTAATTTTCGTATTTCTAGTAGAGATGGGGTTTCACATGTTGGCCAGGCTGGTCTCGAACTCCTGACCTCAAGTGATCCATCTGCCTTGGCCTGCCAAGTGCTGGGATTATAGGCATCAGTCACTGTGCCTGGCCTAAAAGTACAATGTCTTTCATGCGCTTCTCAAGGCAACTACGTTAAGGAGGACACTGCTCTTAATGTCATTCTACAGTAGGTTTCTAATGCTCTTTTTTGGAAGTTTGTTTTTTTCTGAGAAAAGCTAAAAATATAACATAGAAGTGATCATATTATATAATCAATGAAGTGCTTTTAAAGGAGATAAAACTAATCTGGTCCACATTTGCAACCAACGTTGATTGAGAGAGAAAGAGAGAGAACTCAGGATACTCTTACAGATTTTATTATGGGGAATAGTTACTTTATTCTTTTTATCTCAATCAATGCATGGAAATAAGTGATAGTCATTTTCATTTATCTTTTAATAAATAAAATTAACCTAAGGAAAAGAAGAAAACATTGAAAACCCATTAAAGTCAGCCCTTAAAGATATTTGGGCATGCAGACATGATAAGTAACATTTGCATCGTGAGACTTATCCAAAACCTATGCCTCAAGTCCATTTTTGAGAATACATGAAATGAAGATCTCAGTGAGTGCATAAAACTGCACACCAGAATCATATCTGTATAGATAAGAACACATCTACTAGAAAAATAATAAACCCAAACACCAATGCGACTCTGTTTTCTTCTGCTTTAAAATATGTTGTCTTTGTTTGCATGTTTGCGTCTTCCTTTTTTTTTAAACATCACAGATACATTCAACTCTCACCTCAGGTTTTATTCAGAGAACTATCAATGTGACTTGGCCCGTCTCCTTCTAGTCCCAGAAAGAATTGCACTGAAATGCTGAGCTCCTATAATAAAAACGAGCATTTGCTGAGAATAATTAACATACTCAAAGAGATTTTCTTAGAGTACACAATGGTGACATTATATTGTCTCTTTATAAATTACTTTCTATCTATTTCTGTGGATTATTTCTACTAAGTACTTTTCAAATGTCCAATTTCTTTTCTTCCCCTATGACTACTGTCTGAATACTGGCTCTGCTGTTCACTGATACGACTCTCGGCAAGTTGCCTGCACTTTTTAAACTTTATTTCCTCATTCAGAACATGGGGTCATACATAATACAACTCGTTTCAGTGTTATTGGGGAATTAAACAAAAAATGCATGGGAAGCATTTAACATAGTGCCTGAGACAGTACTGAACACTCAGTAGATATTAGCTTTTGTTAATGTTGTTGTTGTTATGTCTAGAAACACTATACCTCCAGAAAATCATGGGTACTTGCTGGGGACGTTGGGGACATGCATGGTTTGGAAAGGAATGACTGCTTTTTTCTGTTTAGGTGAGAAATTTTTCTAAGCCAGACTCCTTCAAACATGTAAGATTCTGTTGTGGATTCTAGGACTGAAAGAATTCTTGGTCGGGTGTGGTGTCTTATCCCTGTAATCCCAGCATTTTGGGAGGACAAGGCAGGAAGATTGCTTGAACACAGGAGTTGAGAACCAGCCTGGGCAACATGGCAAAATCCTGTCTCTACAAAACATACAAACAATAGCTGGGCATGCTGACATGTGCCTGTACTCCCAGCTACTCAAGAGGCTGAGATGGGAGGATCACCTGTGCCTGGGCAGTTTGAGGCTTCAGTGAGCCGTGATGACACCACACTATACTCCACTCCAGCCTGGGCAACAGTAAGACACTGCCTCAAAAAAAAAAAAAAAAAAAAAAAAAAAAAAACCCAAATTAATCTTTTTGCTGGTCTCATGTCAGCAGTGTGTGTTAAAGGCTTTAAAGTAGCCACTTGTTCTGTTTATTTTTCCACTGAACAAGTATTTATCAAAAACATACTTTGTGGCAAACACTGTGCTAAGAGCTATGAATACAGAAGGAAAACCAAATGATCTTGGATACTACACTCCAGTTGGAATAAAAAAGAAAAAGTATATTCTCCATGAACTTCAATATATTGATGTGCAAAACCATAATATATGAATTAGATCTATCTAATCACATAGAATTAGACCAATTATTTTTGGAATTGTGGGCTCATATTTTTAATAACTGTCCTCCTGCCTCTCTGTTGACAGGTTTTATCAATATTCATTTAATCACACACACACACACACACACACACACACACACACACACAAACATACACATACACCTTGACAAATAATGGGCATGAATAATTGACTAGTACTTGCTCTCATTCTTCTAGATGTCACCACAATGGATCCCAAAGACAATTGTTCAAGAGATGCAAATGGTAAGTTTTTGTGTTTTTTACTTCCTCTTGATCATTTTAACTTTTGAACTTCTCTGGCTTGAAAAATCAGGGAATGGATTTTGTTAGGTTGGATGCTGCAGAATGGACCTTGTGATATTTTAAATTAGTCCCTCCTTTTCTAGGAGTTGTATTAACAAAGGAAACTATTGCTTTGGGGTATGAGATGGCTGTAAATTAGAGGGTAAAGTGATATGCTTTTAACTATTTCAAAAAACATTTTATTCATCCATGTGTCTTTTTTTTTTTTTTTTTTTTTTTTTTTTTTTTTTTTTGAGACAGAGTCTTGCTCTGTCACCCAGGCAGTCACGATCTCAGCTCACCACAATCTCCGACTCCCAGCTTCAAGTGATTCTCCTGCCTCAGCTTCTCAAGTCGCTGGGACTACAGGCACATGCCACCATGCCTGGCTAATTTTTGTATTTTTAGTAGAGTCGGGGTTTCACAGGCTGGTCTCAAATTTCTGACCTCGTGTTCTGCCCCCTCGCCCTCCCAAAGTGTTGGGATTACAGATGTGGGCCACTGTGCCCGGCCTCATGTCTTTTGTTTTAATGACTGGGAAAAACATGATACCATGTTGCTTCTCGAGTTGTTTTGTCTTAGTCTTTGGTGTTTGCTAGTAGCTAATAACACGAACCAGTGTTTATCAAGTGCTTTTTACACAGAAGGGTTTGGGCTGTGTTCTGCATTTTCTTGTTTAACCCTCTTAACACCCCTATAAAATGGTACATTATTTTTTTCTCCCAATTTACAGTCCCTTTAAAACAAATAATTATAAAAATCCCTATACATGTCACACAGCTAGATCTGGGATTTCAAATCAGGCCATCAAACAAAGAGTTTATGTACTTAGTAAGTTTCCTATTATTTTTCTGCAATAGAGTCAGATAGCAAGAAATTACAAAGCCAGGAACCCGAAAAAAAAAGGACATAATGTGGGGATGGGTGGGTGCATGGACTTTGCAGAGTGAACTTTCACTCCAGCTCTTTTAATGATTAGGTGTAAGTGACCTATATTTTGTGAGTAACATCTTTTTTAATCAGCCAACCACGAATAATTACACCAGATTTACAGTTATTGAAGAGATAAGGCATGAATGTGAGATGTCTAGCATAGGGTATCTCATTTAGCAGACACAGAATGAGTACTTGTTTCTGGCCTTTTCTCTCTACATATGCACAAAGAATGTGACTAGAAGCATTGGCGCTAGCCCTGCTCAACTTTCTTCTATTTCCAATACCAAGGGGCTCTGACTTAAGCTGCCACACCAGGCAAGGAGGGGCAGTAACATCTCACTTGACCAAGGGCAGGGAGTTAGGAACACATCACTTTTCCACACCAAGTACTGATGTTTCTGGAGTTCTGACATCATGAAGACAAAACATGTAAAATGGAAATTTCTGCAGGCAGAGACTCAGCCTTGTAGCTCATTGAGTAGTTACTGGTGGTCCACCCCCACTGTCTTTACTTATTCCTTGACAGCACATATATCTTGCAAAACCTCAAATAATATCAAATGCAATCACCCAATAATAGCATAGCCATAATCAGAGACATTTAGGAAAGACAGGTGAGTGTGCCACAACTACCTAACACATCAGCGAATCTGGATTAACCACTTTCTTTGCTTTCCTACAAAGCAACCTTACTTTTTAATAGCTTAGAATGTTCTATGTGAATTTAGCAGAGGTTGTTAATCAACTTGAAAGCTGAACTCTGACGTATCTGACACTTGGTGGTGGTGGTAGCAGTAGATGTTTACTTTTAGGTTTTGGTGGTGGTAGAATATCACTTCAATGTAAATCGTCAGAAATAAGTATTTGTGAACCCTCTCCCATTAATATGTCTTATTCTGTAAAAAGAACATGTGAAATTTCTCTTAGATGCACTACTGCTGCAGCTCACAAACACCTCTGCATATTACATGTACCTCCTCCTGCTCGTCAAGAGTGAGGTCTATTTTGCCATCATCGCCGTCTGTCTGCTTAGAAGAACGGCTGTCTGCTGCAATGGAGAGAGATCGTAACAGACGGTGGCACAAGGACGCCATCTTTTTCTCATCGGCTATTGTCCCTAGAAGTGTCTTCTGAGGATCTACTTGGGCTTTCTTTCCGGGTTTGGGCTATTTCAGTTCTCATGTGTGTACTATTCTATCATTGTTGTATAATGGTTTTCAAACCAGTGGGCACACGGAAAACCTCACTCTGTGATGACAATGAGGAATAGCCATGGCGGTCTCCAGCACCACTCTCTCCATATTCTCCACAGCTCCTCCAGCCAACCCAAATAGCCACTGCCATGGTGTAGACAGTCCGCGGCTTCTAGCCTTGTCCCTCCCTTAGTGTTCTTTAATCAGATAACTGCCTGGAAGCCTTTCATTTTACACACCCTGAAGCAGCCTTCTTTGCTAGTTGAATTATGTGGTGTGTTTTTCATAATAGGCAAAATAAATTTTAAAAGATGAAAAGTTGACTTTTGTCCATGTATATTTTAATTGGATGATATCGAATTGAAAATCCAAGGTAAGAAACCTCATGGCAATTGGGCTATGGAATTCTGTGTTGGTTGTAAGAATGGTCCAACATCCCATTTCTCTTTCTTTCCCTGAGCTAGTGTCTATGACACCTTCTAAGAGGAATCATAACCAAATGAAGGAGCCCATGTGGCTTCTGTTTTAAGTGTCACTAGAGTCACCAGATTAAGTTGGTTTAGGACATTCCAGTGGCAACAGGACACCATCTCCTGTGATGTATACCGTGCGAGCTCAGCTCTAGAGTGTTTTGCAGACACCGTGTTTCCTGATCCTCACGATACCCCCAGGAGAGCTGCCCTAACACCAAAGAGGCAGCGTGATGGAGAGGCTCAGCACATGCTCTCTGGTCCCAGGAATCTTGGGTATGGTGTTTAGTATCTGTGTGGCCTCAGATGAGTTCTAGGAACTCTATGTGCCATAATCTCCTCATGTAAAATGAAGTTATAATGCCCCGTTTCCTGAAGTTATGTGGATTAGATGAGTTAATAGCACCTGGCACACACAAGCCCTCCACAGTACCGGCGTGCACTGTTGGTAACTCTACTCTAGAGACAGTAATAAGCCAAAAAGTATATGACGCAGGCCTCAATCAACTTAGAAGTTTATTTTGCCTAGATGAAGGGCATGCCCAGAAGAAAATAACACGGAATCACTGAAACAGTCTATGGTCTGTGCCTTTCTCCAAAGATGAATTTGAGGGCCTCAATATTTAAAAAAGGAAAGCGGGCTGGAGGGGGAAGAAGAAGTGTGTAACAATCCACACGTTGCAAGAGCAAGGGAGCAGGCAGGGGAACTGCCAAATTATGTATTCATGTTGCACTCAGTAAATCAGCACTTTACATAAGATACAGTGAACATAGAGTAGCTACTTTTGGAGCTATTTGACCTTTCATCTGTAGTACTCTGTTTAGGCACAAAAGGAAAGGCAGCTTCTCCCATGAGCCAGCTTTTGGCTTATTTTTTTCTGAAACATAGCATAGTGAATTGGGGTCCCGAGTTTTCCTTTTCCTTTCACACAGTAGATTCCACTGGAAAATAAATAGGTGTGGTGTTGAAAAATAATGTTCATAGCATGACCCTATTAATCCTATTGTGAGATAAATACATTTGAACATTTACATGGTTCTAAAACACTCAAATTTTTATTTAGATAAATATGGATGTACATATATAAGTATCCATGTACCTATATATATGTTCTGATTTACCCTTCTTACACAGGGAGTGTACAACATATATTATTCTGCACATCTCTTTTCATTTATAAATCCTAAAGTTCTTTTTATGTCTGTATACAGGGACACTTCACTGCAGGTATTTTTCTCTTTTTTTTTTTTTTCTGGATGCAGTCTCGCTCAGTCTCCCAAGCTGCAGTGCAGTGGTGCCATCTCAGCTCACTGCAACCTCTGCCTCTCGGGTTCAAGAGATTCTCCTGACTCAGCCTCCCCATTAGCTGGGATTACAAGCTACCATCAACATGCCCAGCTAATTTTTGTGTTTTTAGTAGGGACAGGGTTTCACTAGATTGGCCAGGCTGGTCTTGAACTTCTAACCTTAAGCGATCTGCCCACCTCAGCTTCCCAAAGCCTGGATTTACAAGCATGAGCCACCACCGTACCCAGCTAAATATAGGTATTTTTCACTGGTGAACATACTTTTAATCAGTGTCTTGGTTTAGTTCCAATCTTTTGCTATTATAAAGAATGCTGAAATGAATAATAGTGTTTTATGTCATTTGAACATGTACACTGGTAATTCTGATAGGTTCTGCCAACTTGCCCTCCATAGAAATAGCCCTAACCCCTTCTCCCACAATGTGTGTGAAAGCTGTACTGCTTAATCTTGGGGCTTTGCTAATTTGACAGGTGAAAATAGTATCACATTGTGTTTTTAATTTGCTTTTTTCTTCCTGTGAGTGAAGATAAACATCTTTTTCTGTTTAAGGTCTATTTTATATTATTCTGTGCCATATTTGTTCATGTCCTTTGACCATTTTTCTCTACTGAGTAATAATACAAATAGGCATGACACTCATTTATATGTGTGTCTGTGTACTTCTGCAGACAAAGATAAAATGTTCCATGTATGGTAGGTGGGTGAAAAAATGACAACTGATTGTGTGTTTTCTGTTTTCTCCAGTGACTCCTTTTAAAGTAAACATTTTAATACATTAGATTTAAAACAATGTGTTATTGTCCTCTCACCCTTCTACATCCTTTCCACATTTAGAGTAAATACAATACTCCCTAGCCCGTCACTTTCCCCACCAAGTGGCACACTGTCTCCAACCTTCTCTGCATGCTGTATTCTCTCCTGATCTTGTACACTCGTGTGCTGAGTCAATGAACAAGAGGCTGATTGAAAAATTAGTTCAGGGAAGTCCAGAAACCCTAACCTCAGGATCAGCATGGAATAAAATTTGAAAATGACTATGAGAAGAAAATGCTAACTACTTCCGTGATGTTGGAGAGGGGAAAGTTTTCTTAAACAGCACTGCAAAACACCCAAAGTATATGGCAAGAAAAAAAAGAGTTTGACTCCAAAATTAAGAATTTATATTTAATGAAAAGATATTTGAGATAGTCGGCAGACAGATTTGCCTAAAATATTTGTTCCACCCCAAATTCACAAAGGATAAATGTCTAAAAACCACAATGAACTTATTCAAGAAATGAATAATTACTATTATTATAATTTGTTTATATCATTTATATTTATTTATAATATGGCAATATAATATATTATAATACAATAATAACATTTGTTGACTGTCACTTGCTACACACTGTGTGTATTATTTTATTTAATTTTTACAAATCTATGAGGTAGTTGATCTTTTTACTTATTAAGCCGGGGAAGCTAAGACAGAGTTTCATGAGGAAGCTTGTTCATGGTCACACAGTCAATAAATGGCAGGGCCAGGCTGTGTCCCAGGCAGACGGGCTCTAACATAAGTTCTAACTCCAGCCTCCTTGTTGGTATGCTTAGAGGACGTGAAAGGTAATTCATACTTCAGTGAATACTAACTATAAAAAAGGACCTCAGCTTCCTAATAATCAGATCTGTGCCTTCTTTTTTTTTTTTTTTCTGAGACAGGTTCTCACTCTGTTGGCCAGGCTGGAGTGCAGCGGTGCAATCTTGGCTCAGCGCAGCTTCTGCCTCCTGGGTTCAAGTGATTCTCCTGCCTCAGACACCAAGTAGCTGGGATTACAGGTGTGCCCCACCATGCCCAGCTAATTTTTGTACTTTTACTAGAGATGGGGTTTCTACTAAATCCCTAATTTTGTATTTGCAGTAGAGACAGGACAGCTTGATAGCTATCAGATCGGCAATAAATAAATAAATAAATAAATAAATAAATAAAATGAGCGTTTCTGATAACACCATGGCCCTGGTAGCATTTAGTGAAGATGTGAGTGTGTGTTCCCCCTGACCAGCAATGCTGGGAGGACATTCCCAGGGAAAGGCTTACCAGGGAAAAAGAGGACTCTGTGAGGGGTCCGTCAGAGCTCCCTGCTGATAGCAACATGCCTGTGTTTGGGGGAATGGATGGATGGAATGCAGGGGCTGCCAGCCGTGGAGCGATGAGCAGCAGAGAGGAGCATGAACGAGGGGCATGAGCTGGTGTGCAGACGTGGACAGGTAGAAATGGCATGCCAGTACACAACGAAAAACACAGTATTCATGAACAATTCTATATACAGTCACGCGTTGCTTGACAACAAGGAAGCATTCTGAGAAATGCGTCCTTAGGCGATTTCATCCTTGGGCGAACATTGTGGAATGCACTTCCATAAACCCAGATGGCACAGCCTACTACACACAGAGGCTATATGATGTAGCCTGTTGCTTCTAGGTTACAAAGCTGTGTAGCATGTTACTGTACTGAGTGCTATAGGCAACTGTAACACATTGGTAAGTATTTGTGTATCCAAATATATCTAGACATAGACAACCTACAGTAAAAAATAGGATATACAAGTGTAAGTACAAAAACACCTGTATAGGGAACTTACCGTGAATGGAGCTTGCAGGTGAGCGAGTGAGCGAGTGAGTGGTGAGAGGATGTGAAGACCTAGGACGTTGCTGTCCACTCCTGTAGACTATAAACACTGCACACTTAGGCTACACTAAATTCATCAAAACATGCATTTCTTTCTTCACTAATAAATTAACTTTGCCTTACTGTAACTTTTTTACCTTTGCGACTTTTATTTTTTAACTTTTTGACTTGTAATAACACTTAGCTTAAAACACAAACACACTGTACAGTTGCACAAAATATTATCTTTGTATCCTTATTCTATAAACCGTTTTCTATTTTTAACACTTTTAAAACATTTTTGCTAAAAACTAAGACACAGCCACACATTAGCCTAGGCCTACAGGGTCCAGATCTTCAATATCACTGTAGTCCAGCTCCACATCTTGTCCCCATGGAGGGTCATCAGGGGCATAACACACATGGAGCTGTCATCTCCTAGGACAACAATGCCTTCTTCTGGAATTCCTCCTGAAGGGCCTGCCTGAGGCCGTTTCACAGTTAACTTTTTTTTTTTTTTTACAAGTAGACGTTGTACACTCTAAAATAATGATAAAAAGTATAATGTAGTAATTACATAAACCAGTAACATGGTCATTTATTATCAAGTATTATATACTGTGCATAACTGGATGTGCTAGACTTTTATGCAACTGGCAGTACGGTAGGTTTATTTATACCAGCATCCACAAATGAGAGTCATGTGTTGTGACATTATGATGGCTACAATGTCACTAGGTGACAGGAATGTTTCTGCACCACTATCATCTCACAGGACTGTGGTCCATGTGGTCCATCGTTACTGAAATGTGAGGAAGTACCTGACTCTAGTCTTCACAGATATGGAGGATCTAAGGACAGATACCAAATACATTAGATTGGGCACCTATGGGGGAA